GACTTAAATAATTCCTATCAAGTTTTAAGAAAAAAACCACAACAAAACAATAAAAAAGCCCCTCACAAACAAGCCAAAACAAAAAAAAAAAAAAAACCACAACAAAACCCCAAACACACAAATAACACTGGCATATCTCAGTGGCAACATTTGATACTATCCTGAACATCATTTGAACATTTATTACACAAGCAAATGACAGAATATGGCACATGGCTTTGTGCTTGTTTTCATTTCCCAAACTATCAGCAAGTTTACCCCAACCTTCTCTGTCTGGGATGTAACCAGAATTCCTGGCACCCTGCCTGTAATGCAGCAGCCTCAGTTGTCAAGGCAGAGCAGATAAAGGCTGATCTCATCCTACGTGACTCCAACAGGCAGGACAGGCACCCTGTCCACAGAGGTGCTACCTGGAAGTCTGGAGGTTGAGGATGATTTGCCCAGGCCTTTCATGCCTACCAGACATCTAAAGAAAATTTTGATTCCAATCAGCAGAAGCAGTTTGATAAAAGCAATGCAGATTTTTGAGTAGGTTAGGAAGACCCCAGGTGGAGACTTTTGTGTTTAGTTTCTCACCCTTTCTGTAACAATCTGCAATACACACAATTTCTTTGTTGACTTTATCTGAACCTTTTTTTCCCTAACATTTAGAGCAAACATAGATACCAACCATACTGGTCATTGTTTTGCTTGAAGTACTTGTCAAGCTCCTGAAGGATATGCATCCAGTTGTGTATATATAAAAGGAGGAACAGATGAATTCTGTTCCCTGTGCTTGAGAGGCACTGCTGCAAACACATTTTCTGTCCTCTGCATAGAGAGCTGCATGTTGCACTACTTAAGAGGAAAGGACGTGTATTGTCACTGAATTTCGTAATCCTCAGAGGAATGCTGTAAAAATATTGAAGTGGGAAATTCAGTGAGTTCTCCTATTACCAGTATGAACTACCAGGAACACTTACATGTTATTCCTGATTTTCCAGACACTTTGGCTTTCAGACTGCTGTTCTTGATCCAGCAGAACTGCAGCAGGGGCTCAGAGTTGCTACACTGGTAGTCTTCAGTAGATTATTGACACAATTTTGCACAAAATGACCCATGTAAATGGTGTTCCTGGGTTGTTTCTTGTATGGACAGTGGAAAAGGGATCCAGGAAATGTTGTGTGCAATTTCTTTTGAGCTTAATATGTGTTTAGATGTTTGATTGCAGTATGTCCTTTGGTTATGACATTTATACTCCTCCTGCCTGCCTCTGGTTTGTCCAGAGATGCCTGAGACATCCTGCTATAATGACGTTTCTGGACACTTTTCTAAGTGTGTGTTTCTTAGCTTCCACCAACTTGTCTACAATGCTGAGTGCTCTTGGAAGGTAGAGAGCAGAACAGTCCCACTGAAACTCTGAATGCCAAACTGGGATTTTTGAG